GAGATTCCAATTGTTAATTCTTTGTGCTATTCCCCATGCTACTGAGGATTTGTTACAGCATACTGTTGGATTTTGGTTTTTTATGCATTCTGCCAGTCTGTTTCTTTTGATTGGTGAATTGAGGCCATTTACAATGGTGGTTATAACTGATATGTATTGACTTATCATTGTCATGTTATTGTCCTGTTGTTGGTTCTTTTTTATTTTTCTCCCTCTCCCCTTAAATTCTTGCCTATTAGAATTGCTCTGTTTGGCCTCATTCAGTTGTGACCTTCATTGTCTTTTTCTAGGATATTTTTAAAAATTGTTTGGAGAGCTGGTTTGGTGTTCATGAAATTTCTCAGGTGTTCTTTGTTGTGGAAGTATCTTATTTCCCCATCAATTTTTGAAAAATAGTTTTTCAGAATACATCAGCCTTGGTTGGAGGTTGTTTTCTTTTAGGGCTTGAAATACCTCATTCCAGGCACTCCTTGACTTGAGGGTTTACTTTGAAAAGTTTCTTGTGCCAGGTGTGGTGGTGCATATCTGTAATTCCAGCACTTGGGAGGCTGAGGCCTCTGATCTCTGTGACTTTGAGACCAGCCTTGGCTACATAGTGAGTTCCAGGTCAGTCTCAACCACGTAGTGAGACACTGGCTCAAAATAGAAAAAACAAAAACAAAACTGAAAAACCCCAAAAAATAAATAAAGAAAAGCCTGTTGTATTTCTCATAGGCTTTCCTTTGCATGTAATTTGTTTATTTTCTCTAACTACTTACAGTATTTTGTACTTCTGTTGGGTTTCCAAGATCTTGATTATAATATGTCTAGGTGTAGAATTTTTTTAAAATCATAACTAGTTGGAGTCCTATATGCCTCACTTATCTGTATGTCAAATTTTTTTGCTCCGTTTTGGAAGTTTTCTGTCATTAATACTGTGCACAGTTGTTTTTTTTTATGCCATTTGTGCTTTCTCCTACTTTTTCTTGGACTCCTATTAATCTTATATTATTCTTCTTTGCATCATCTAGGAGCTGATGGAATGATTTCTCATGGTCCCTTACTATTTTTAAGAGATCTTTCTTTTCATGGTCACTGACCGCCATCCTGTCTTGTATATCTGATATTCTGGCTTCAGATTGGATTAGTCGGCTATGTATACTTTTAATAGAGTCTTTAATCTCCTGGATATCAGTTTGAATCCGTTTCATGGATTCCATTTCTTTCTTTCTTTTTTTTTTTGGTTTTTTGAGACGGTCTCACTATGTAGCTGAGACTGACCTGGAACTCACTGTGTATCCCAGGCTGGCCTCGAACTCACAGTGATCCTCCTGCCTCAGCCTCCGAAGTGCTGGGATTACAGGCATGGCGCACCATGCCTGGCTTTCCATTTCTTTGTTATGTTGGGACTTCATGGTTTCCATTTACTTCCTGTGCCGAGCACTCATGGCTTTCATCATGGTACTGAACTTATCTATTTTTTAAAATCTATTTCTGTTCTAGAGTTTATAATCATGTCTTTTATCTGGGAAATTATTTGTTTTGAATATTTCCAGAGCCTGTTTCTTTTTACTTCCTGTGCTGTCAGTTCAGATTGTCCATGTGATTTCCATCTTGTTTTCCCAGAATTTTCCTTTGGTAAGCTGGAAGACTGTGTCTTGTTTAAATGTCTTTTCATTTCTATTATTGTTGTTAGTATAGTCCTTGGATTAATTCCTGGGTTGATACTTCGATATTACTTATTTTTTTCATTAAGTTTATTTGTACATTTAAAGCAAACAATACAGTTACATTTATCATTAGGATCTTGTACCTTTACATGATATATCTTGGTTCTTGTTTTTTCCCCATACCCCTGCCTTCCTTTCACCCCCTTCACCCTTCCCTATGATATTACTTATTGTACATGTCTTTGTTGCTTGTATTTAGAATACTTAAGGAATGATTGCTTCTCAGAGGCATCTTCCAGATACAGCTGTTCTTTAGGATTTGAGTCTCTAATAACTCTGGGGCAATCTCATTTTCATTATACCAGGAAAGTTAACTGATTAGATCAATCACAACACTAGCCCCAGTGATGCAATTAGCAACAACAATAGAATCAAATACAACTTAGAAAATGACAATTTGTGGTAGTTATTAATCTATCAGCTTTAACTGTGTGAAACAAAATGAAATCGAAGACTAGCCCAAAATATGTTTATAATGAATAAACTGATCAATATAGTAACTTTACCCTTTGGAATGGGGACTTAGGAGTAAGGACCTCTTACTATTATTCACTTCTGCTCTAGCTCAGGGCAATGGCCGTTAAGATCCCCTGTTCCTCTGCAGTACAGATGAGGAACAGGTGTAGCCAGGAAGCCAGTGGCATGGGTGGGGAGTTTGGGGGGTGGTGGTGGTTTGGGTTGGGTTCTTGGAAGCACCTGTGTGGCTCTGGTTCTCACAGGTCTGTTGGTGGCCGGGAGGCCTGGGTGGGATAGGGCCCGTGCAGATGGCTTCATGCAGCTCCTGTCCTCACCAGTCCCTCTTTTCATTTTTGTATTAACCGCTTGGATTTGATTTCCTGGAATTTGCCTAGACATGTTCTTTGTCCATTTGGGTTGGTTGTCTTTTTTGCTGTTGATAAAATGTATTATAATTAGTAATCTTCTGCCTACTACATGTATTTTAATCTGTACTCCCATGCTATCATTTGGACTTACTTGTGAAATTAAAAAGAAATAAGAAAAGGAGGATTATCTGTTAAAAACGAATGCCCATTTAATGTGAATGTCTAAGAAAAGCAGGAAAAAAGAAAAAGAAAAAATAACCCTACCATTGCATTTGGAGTAAGTCCTAAAGAACGAGTAAGGTATATATTCTTTTTAAACCCTACCCGCTCTTATCCATATTGCCAAGTAACAAAGTTCTTGGTATTTCAGAATGATTGAGAGAATTGACCTGGGAGAAATGAAGAATTCCCATTGGGTTATAATTGGGATGAAACTGGATAAATAGGTTTTGCTTACAGTGAAGGGCCTTACATGCCAGAGTGAAGAGTTTGGAATTCATCCTATGGGAATTTCTCAATTGAAGCATGATATCCAATCAACATTTTGAAAAAAATTAACCTTACTACTTTACCTGTATGTTTATTTCCTTCCCTGTATTATGAAAGTTTTCTACCATCGTTTCTGTGAACAAGGTTTTTATGCCATTTGTGTTGTCTTCTGATTTGTCACCTATTCCAATTACTCTTGTATTATCTAGCAGCTGTTGGATCCATTTTTGTTGTTCTTTTGGTATTTTTAAGGCATTTTTGAGTAGTTGGTTTTTGAAAACATCATTATCTTCTAGTTCTGAAATTCTGTCCTCTTATTGGTTGCTTTTGCTGTTCATACTTTCAGTGTAATTTTTAGTCTCCTAGATTGCTGATTGAAGCCCTTTCGTGGACTCTAGTCTTTGCTAAACTTGTCATTTATTTATTTATAACCATTTTGATTAGTTCACTTAAGCTTTTTATCATGTATTCTGAAAACCCATGGATCATTTTGGTTATTAGTTCCATTATTTGTTTAGTTATATTTTCTGTAATCTCCCTGAGTACCTCTTTCATCTGTTTTCTAATCTCCGCGTTTATCCTTTTGAGTAAATTGGATGTGTGCCTTATGCTGTCCTGCCCCTTGGATTGGCTTCAGGGAAATTGGGAGTTTTGGGAGACATTTTGTTGACTTTCATGTTTCTGTTGTTTTTGTTAGTTTGCTTAGAATTGGTGACTTTGAGAGTGCAGTTTTAGGTGACCACAAGGATAGGACACAAGATAAAAATGTTAAAATTTTAACAATAAGTAGAGAAACCTAATCAACAGATGAAGAAAAAGGAAGAAGAAAAGTCAGTAGAGGTAGACAGAGTGAAAGGGGTGCCCTTTCTGTGAAAGGGCATCAGTCTGTGGACCATCCAGTTGCTACAGAGGATGTGTCACAGGGTGCTGCTCTAGTGATTAATATGATGGTGCTTGCTGAGTGAACCTGTATTCAGAAGACACATATGAGGGGAAGTGCATCAGTCTTTCATAGGATCAACATTTCATGAAGGGAAAACACACTACCGAGGAGGCAGCTCTGAACCCCTGTGGTATTTCTTCCCATGTAGATTAAATGAGTCACATTTAATGAATGAAATGCAACTAAGCACACTCAAAAGCTATGTCTTTTAAAAAAATAAATTTGTTATATTCTGTCTTAGTTCCTTTTCTTATTGCTAGGATAAATACTTAATGCCCCAAGTTAAAGGAGGAAAGTTTTCTTAGATCACAGTTTGTAGAGCTTTCTGTCCATAATTGGCTGGCCCCAAGGCAGGGTGGCATCACAGAGGAGAAACAGTTCATGGTGGGCAGAAGGTAGCAAACACACAAGGGACAAGGCAAGCTTTTTTCTGTCCCCTATATTGTATCTAAAATACCAGGATTAGGGTAGTGCCAAACCCATTAGTGGACCGATTTAGTAGGAAATCACCCACCTTTAATCCTAGCACCTTTAATTCTAGCATTGCACCATAAATCAATCACATATTTTAGATTCAGCCATCTCTGAAAAAGCCCTAGCTATGATTATGTGTGGCTTTGGGGGTACATCTAGATAGAAGCCATAACATATTCTTTTTCTTTCTTTTTTTTGAGACAGAGTTTCACTGTGTAGCCCAGGCTGTTCTAAACTTGCAGCAATCCTCCTGCCTCAGTCTCCTGAATGCTGGGATTACAAGTGTATGCCACCATGTGCAACTAATTTTGTTATATTCTAATATTTGAAAGAATGTATATGATGTGTTATAGTCTAATCTATACATAGTATATATTACACAATATGTTCTAATATTTTGTAATAAAATATGTCTCAGGATTTAGTATTCATCCTATATTGGGCATACAATACTTTGTTTATACTATTATCTGAGTTTTCTAGTGATGATTTAACACTAATTCTTTTCCTCTTCAAAATGCATTGAATCACATTTTCCTTAAACATAGTCTTGGTATATAGACAATGAAATAGAAGAAATCAATGGAGTGGAGATGTGCAGCAGTCTAACTCACCTTAGTTTGGCCAACAACAAGATCACAACAATTAATGGCTTAAACACGTTACCAATCAAAATACTTTGTCTGGTGAGAGTTGAATAAAATATTATTCTTTATAGAAGTAGTAAATAATGTTTAATAAATGTGTGAATTTTGACTACTAAGAATTTTTCAAATGTATAAGGAGCTAATTTCTTCACTAAATGCTATTGTTTTTAGTTTGCTTGGTGTGTGTGTACATGATCAATATTCCATGCTAACATAAATTGATTTTCCTATTTGGTGTCTAAATTACATTTTTAGATTGAATTTTTACACTGGGAAAGAAAGGTATATATATATGTTTTTTTCATTGAGTTTATTGGTACATTTTAGGTATACAGTGCAGTTACATTCATTACCTTTACATTACAGGTCTTGGTTCTCATGTTTTCCCCTTGTCCCTGCCCTCCCTTTACCCCCTCCTCCCCTCCCCATTTACAAACATTTTTTTTCCATTTTTTCATTTTCTCATATTTTTTCCCTTATTAAAGAAAGGTGTATATATATATATATTGGGTGTTTTTTTTGTTTTGTTTTTTTGTTTTTTTGAGACAGGGTCTCACTATGTAGTTGAGACTGATCTGGAACTCACTGTGTAGCCCAGGCTAGTCTCAAATTCACAGAGGAGATCCTCCTGCCTCAGCTTCCCAAGTGCTGGGATTACAGGCGTGTGCCACCACACCCGGCAAGCAGAAAGGTATATTTTTAACAAGTATTTAAAATATTTTTGGTGAACATGTACCAATAAACTCAATGAATTAAAAAAATAACATTGAGCAAATTTAAGCATAAATATTTATTGTTCATACTTTATTGCTTTCAAATGCATTCTTTATTGCTTTTCAAAGTGTTCCCTTGACACTGAACTTGGGCAGTCCTTTTATATTAATACATGCTAGTCTCTCATTCTAGAGGATCAGAAATTGTGCTGAGTATAAATGAATAATTCCAAGCAAAAAATTTATATTGTTTTTCAGAGAGCTTTCTTTTAAAGCCATTTATCTTATTTACTTTTCTCATTACTGAGACTAAATACCTGATACCCTAAGTTAAAGGAGGAAAGATTTATTTAGCTCATAGTGTATAGAGTTTTCAGTTCATGGTTGGCTTTAAGGCAAGGTGGCATGATAGAGGGGCATCTTGGAGGAGAAACAGTCCATGGCAAAGCAGGGCAGGCAGAAGGCAGCAAGCAGCAAGGCACAAGTGACAAGCCACAAATTCTTTTTATCCCTTTATATTATATTCCTTAGGGCAGGTAGCACTCACACCCAGGGTGGGGCATCCTTAATCTTACCTAGAACTATGCCAAACCAATTAGTGGACTAAGTTAGTAATCACATTACCCTTAATCCCAGCATTATAGTCTCTAGATCCAGCCACTCTAAAAAGACCTATGGTTGCATGAGGTTTTGTGGGGGACATCTAGACAAGCCATAACACTGTGATGTGTCACGTGACTGTGACCCAATGAAAATAGAAGTTATTTACAAAAAATTCAGCAGGATCATACTAGTCCCAAAGACATAAATGATATTTTTAAAATATTTAAAAATAGTATAGGGGTCGCTGTTGTGAGGGACTATAGTACTGTTAGTGAAATAGCGAGGATTATTCTTTTCCTCTTCCATCCTACCCTAAATGACTTTACTATTTTTTATTACATCTGTCCCAGGGTGGGTAGGGAGGATTTCAAGCTGTGACTCTTGTAGTTTATTCATTTTTAATGTGAATTCCACAGGACATTGAACTGTTGTTTGAAAATGACACCTTGGGTTATATGCAGATTTTGATATACTATTCCTATCTTACTGTATTTAGCCATACATTTTTAATTAGTTAATTTTATTGGTGCATTTAAGGTATATAATGTTGTGACATTCATCATTGAAAATTTGCACATTTACATAATCCATTTTGGTTCTTATTTTTTCCCTATTCCCCTGCCCTCCCTTCAACTCCCCACCCTTTCCTAACTACAAAGAATTTGTTTCCATTTTTTCATTTTCTCATATTACTTCCATTCTCATCTTTCTTTTCCCGTACCCCTCCCATTTCCCGTTCTGCTTTGCACCTTTTCTTCCTGTTTCAAATTATCTATTATACCTTTTAGTCCTCCTTTACACTTTCAGTTTCTCACACTAGAGAAACTGTTTGGTATTTACACATATTGTCCTATTTTTCACTTAAGAGTTAAGAGTATTGCCGCAGTGTGCATCCATTTAGCTATAAATGTCTCTAATTTCTCATTCTTTATGGCTGAGTAGTATTCCATTTTGTTTTTTAAAAAACCCACATTTTCTCTATCCAGTCAGTCTCCAGTTGATGGGCAGTTGGGCTCCTTCAAAGCTTTAGCTATCATGAATTGTGCTGTTATGAACATGGGTGCACTTATATCACTGTGGTATGATTCTTTTATCTCTTTGGGAAAAATATGCAGCAGGGTCAAATGGGACCTCTAATCCTAGTTCTTTTTTTTTTTTTTTTTTTTTTTTTTTTGGACACACTCAGGTTCTTGTGCTTGAGAAGCAGGCCAAGGAACCACTGTGCTAATTGTAGTTCTTTGAGGTATCTCCATACTGATTTTCATAGTGGTTGCACGAGTCTACACTCCCACCAGCAGTGGAGCAGCGTTCCTTTTTCCCCACAGCCCTGCCAGAATTTGTCATTGGCTGACTTCATGATAGCAGCCATTCTTTCTGGGGTGAGGTGGAATCTCAGTGTTGTTTTCATTTGCATTTCTTGAACGACCAGTGATGTTAAACAGTTTTTCATATGTTTATTTGCTATTTCTACTTCTTTGAGAAATGTCTGTTCATTTCAAATAACCGTGTTTTGATTGGGTCTTTAAATTCAGAAGGTCTGATTTTTTTTAAGTTCTCTATATATTTTAGATAGTAGCCCTTTGTCCAAGGAAGAGCTGGTGAAAAGTTTTTCCCACTTTATGGGTTGTCTCTTCACATTATTGGTTGTTTCTCTTGCTGTACAGAAACTTTTTAATAAGAAGAGATCCCACCTATTGATTGTTTGTACTAGTTCACAGGCAACTGAGATTTTGTTCATAAAAATCTTATCCTAAACCAGTATCTTCAAGAGTTCTACCTAACCTCTTTTCTGGCTGGTTTAGTGTTTCTGTTTTAATATTTAGATCTTTAATCCATTTCAATTTTAGTTTAGTGCATGGTAAGAGATACAGGTCTAGTTTTAATCTTGTGCAGGTTGAAACCCAGTTTTTCCAGTACCATTTGTTAAAGAGGCTGTCTTTCCTCCAGTGAGGGCATTTGGCTCCTTTTTTGAAAATGACATGGCTGAGTGTGTCTGGAGTTGTTTCTATATCTTCTGATTGATTCCACTGGTCCTGAGGTCTGTTTCTTTGCCAGTACCATGTTGTCTTTCTCACAGTAGCTTTGTAGTATAGTTTCACATCGGGGATTGTCATACCCCCACCTTGTCTTTATTGCCTACAAATGTTTTTGGTATTCTAGGTCTCTTCTTATTCCAAATGAATTTTTGGATTGCTTTCTCAAGGTCTGTGAAGTAAGCTACTGGGATTTCAATTGGGATTGCATTGAATCTATGTAGTAGTTTTGAAAGTATTGCCATTTTCACTATATTGATTCTTCCTACCCAGGAACAAGGGATGTCTTTCCATTTTCTGATATCATCTTCAATCTCCTTTTTCATAGTGTTGTAGTTTTTAGAGTAGAGGTCTTTGATTTCTTTTGTTAGATAGATTCCTAGGTTTTTCAATTTTTTGGATGCTATTGTGAAAGGGATTGTTTGGCACACTTCTCTCTCAGTGAGTCTGCTTTTCATATACAGGAAAGCTATTGATTTTGGGGTGTTGACCTTGTTGTATCCAGCTGCTTTGCTGAATTTGGTTATTAAGTCTAAAGACTTTTGGTGAAGTTTTTGGGGTCTTCTAAATAGAGTATCTTGTTATCTGCAAATAATGACAATTTGACTTCTTTATTTCTTATCTTTATTCCTTTTATTTCTTTCTCTTGTCTTATTGCTGTGGCTAATGTTTCCAAACCTATATTGAACAGGAGTGGTGATAGTGGACATCCTTGTCTTGTTCCTGATTTTAGTGTGGAGGATTTCAGTTTTTGACCCACTTAGTATGATATTGGGTGTTGGTTTTTCATAGATGGCTTTTATCAGATTGAGGTAGACACTGTCTCCCTCAATTTTTTGGAGGGTTTTTTATTTAAATGTGATTTGGATTTTGTCAAATGGTTTTTCTGCATCTATTGAGATGATCATGTGCATTTTGTCCTTGGCTGTATTAATATGGTGTATTGCATTTATTGATTGTGTATGTTGAACCATCCCTGCATCTCTGGGATGAATCCCACTTGGTCAGGGTGTATGATCTTTGTAATGATCTACTGCATTCTGTTGGCGAGTATCTTATTAAAAATTTTTGCATCTATGTTCATTAGTGAGATTGGCCTATAGTTCTCTTTTTTGGTTGGGTCTGTCTCTGCTTTGGGCATCAAGATGATGCTTGCTTCCAGGAATGAATTCAGGAGTGTTGCTTCCCTTTCAATTTCATTGAAGAGTTTAAACAGGAGTAATAGTATTTCCTCTCTAAATGTCTTGTAGAATTCAGCAGTGAAGCCATCAGGACCTGGACTTTTCTTAGTTGATAAGATTTTTATTAATTTTCAGTTTCATTGATTGATGTTGGATTGTTTAGAATCTTTAGGTCATTTTTGTCCAACTTTGGTAATTCTTACAAATCTAGGAATCTGTCCATTTCTTCTGTATTTTCCATCTTATGGCATATAGGTTCTTGAAGTAGGTATTAATCCTTTGGATTTCTGCTTGGTCTGTTGTAATTTCACCCTTTTAATTCCTAATTGCTTGGATTTGGGCCTTTTTTGATATGGTTGGCTGAGGGTTTGTCAATTTTGTTTATCCTTTCAAAGAATTGATTCTTGGATTCATTGATTTTTTTTTGTATTGTTCTTTTAGTCTCCATTGCATTAATTTCTGCCCTGACCTTTATAATTTCCTCCCTAGCTTTGGATTTGTCCTGCTCT